AGTCTAATAGGTACTGTTATTTTGAACTAGGGTGCATGTTACTCGAGATTTGTTGTACCTATAAATTTGCGATCTTGTGGCCTATAGTCAATGACGTACAGAGGTTTGGTAATATTTAGTGATGTCCGTCGCCAACTCATTGATTGTTTGCTCCTAAGACTAAGGTAGTGGGCGTATAGGGCCTAGTACTCGGAAATGTGAGAACGGAAAACATTTTAAATGTGTAAAAATAAAAGAAACATGAAATAAACAAATTAAATATAAGCTAAATTTTTATTTCACTCTTTGATTGGTTGCCCTCCTTCCCGATGTGAATACCCCGGACCGTCGCACCTTTGCCCAGACCTTCTGTACGGTACTGCTCATACTCAGGATAATATGCAACACCTAATGGACGCTTTTAACAGTGTTTGCATTGCTCTAGTACTTAATCGAAATAAAAAAAAAAAAAACGAAAAAACTATAATGGTGTGTCAGCCTTCACTGGGAAAGACGTACAGGGAGCAAAATATCTCTGTAGCCAATAAACATATGATGACTTTGTTTTTTTTTGTTTTTTCTTTTTTTAATCATTTCACCCTAAGCAAGGCGGAAATGTCACTGGTATGCAGGGGTTTTTATCTGGGCAGCATTTTAACGAAAACATGCTCACTGAAAAAATTAACTTGCGAGGAGAATTCAAGAAGCCAGTAATACATTCGGTAAGTTGGAAAAACGACTATGAAGACTGTGGAATTTCGAAAGTGACAAAAATCATAGTGTACCATGCTTTTGCGTCCTAATGTCGTTATTGTGTGCATGTGAAACGTGGATTATCTATTGCGATCACTTGAAGTAGTTTCAGCTTTTTCATCAACAATGCTTGCGCCGAATATAATCTTTTTTTTTTAATCATTTCTTCCCAAGCAAGGCATTTAATTCACTAAACACAAGGGGTTATCAAGGGTGAAAGTTGGCTGGAAAGTATGAAGCCGGAATAAAGTTCCACAAGCAAAAAGAGTGAAAAAAAGAAACTGTCAGCATAGAACTTACGGTTTCATCTAACCAATTCAACTGTAAATTGATGTGGCCTTCTTGACAAGTTAGCAATGCGTTTAAATTCATAAAGTCTAGGTACAATAGCAAAAAGTTCATCAGAACAATTACCACGAAAATACTTATGGAAAAGACGCAGGGAAACTACATTACATCGGTGAGAAACCGACTGAAACCGAGATGCCAGATCAGGACCCATAACATAGCGTATTCTTCTTTAGATTTTATCAAGAAACTCTCTGTATATATATATCAGGAGCATCAGATCATATGTGGCAGCAATATTCAAGTCACGGACGAATGGTAGACTTATAAATATGTAAGATAATTTCTGGAGAAAAAAATATTATCACATATGATTATGAGTACCATGCAAATGAAGATCACAGAAAGGTTGCTTTTGAGCGTTCTTGGATTGCTAATGAAAAGCTGAAAAGAAATGTTCGAAAACGTATTGATGTAAAACAGCCAGACCATATAGGTGACATGCTTGATCACACTTGTGGTGTTTGTGGTAGGATTTGCCTGAGTAACTCAGGAAAATTAAGTCATGTGCGAAGTCATCGTACCAGAGCACCGATTAATATGAGTTGAATATGAGTTGTAATGATGTGTTGAAACGACATGTAAACAGTCACCAAACTAGACAAAATATGTTACTATCGTCTACCAACTTTGTGGCATATATTTTAAACGTCTGTCCGGTTTAACAAACCACATCCGTTCAAAGCACAATTAGGTCTTACAATATCTTTTTTATGGTCATACTCGACAACGAAGTCACTATCATCTATCTATCTATCTATCTATCTATCTATATATATATATATATATATATATATATATATATATATATATATGTGTGTGTGTGTGTGTTTGTTTTACACAGGGTGCGATGAATAAATTGTCATCTAAATTACGCAAAAATGAAAATAACACTGACATCTCATTTTAAGAAATATATTTACCAAAATTACACAAAAATGTCTGGAAATACTAAAGAGTAAATTTATTCAATAAAATCGCCGGACGACTTCGGAATCTTCTGCAAACCTTCAAGACGGTCTCCTTGTTTAAGTTGCTGAATGCTGCCATAATCCTGGCCTTCAGTTCCTCTTTAGTGTTACAAGGAGTTTTGTTGGTCTCTCGCTCAACTGCGCCCCACGCATAATAATCAAGGGGGTTGCAGTCTAGGGAGTTAGATGCCCAGATGTAAGGTGTGATGTGGTCGCAGAAATTGTATGACAGCCATGACTGGGTTCTCTTGCTTGTGTGTGACATGGTGCAGAGTCCTGTTGCACGACACAGGGTCTTACAGCAGCAACTCTGTTGACCTAGGGCAGCACTACCTCCTCAATGTCGGCCTCCGTGTTGTCTGAGGCCCTCACTAACAAATTCGGGAGTTCTTTTGTTCTCAGAACGATCATAATGGGTTTTCCGAGCTGTCGTACATTCGTAATCACCATTAGACTCATCCAACTCTTTCCGAATTCTCTGCACTGTCCTCAGATTGACATTCAAACACTCTGAAATGTTCGTATTGGAGCTTTCGGTGAGAATGCTAAGCATTATAGCATGCCGTTTCCAAATTTCTAGCGGAGTGAATTGCATCATGGTGCTCTTTTTGGCAAAGACGGTAGCCAAGTAACCATACTATACTGTGCAGTTGATAAAATCAACAACACGCATGCGCGAAATAAAAAATATAACATGATGACAATTTGTCTATCGCACCATATATATATATATATATATATATATATTAGTAGTAGTAGTAGTAATCTTATAAGTATAAGAAATTATACTCGTTCGGAAAACCTTCGGTGTCTTGATTTGCAAATAATCAAACCAATACCAAAGGGAAAAAAGGTATAAAAAAAGAAAGAACCAAGAACATGTACGTTAGCCGAAAATAATCGTCTAGCATGCAAGTCCAAAGGCCAAAGAACAAAACCCCGATACGAGTATGCAAAATAACTAAATAAAGTGCTCAATACAGTGAGTAGAGCAGACGTAGTTAAAACTAGAGAGCCAGACAAAACTTCCCTGACGATCCGCTTAGGTGAAAACTTGGTAGGTTTGCCTGGCTCTCTATGTTTAACTTATATATATATATATATATATATATATATATATATATATATATATATATATAGGTCCAATGTCCACTTTTCAGGAAGGTAACTTTGGAAAGTATTTGAAAACGATACCACAGTTCGACCCAAACATTGTAAGTGAAATTAAATTGATGAAACTGTGCGCAAACTGTCGATGATTGCTCTACCATGTTCAAAACTTTCGTTCACGATAACTTCATTCGAGTCATCGAGACCGAGGTTTTGGTCGTGCTGGCCTGTTCAAACTGTTGATCAATTCACATTATGGACTCTCTCCCAGAAACTATAAGTAAAGTCTGCTCAGCATAGTTGTAGCATATACCACAGACTGTCTTTTTGGGAAGGCAGAAATATGGCTGAGCTGGCAATGCAACAGACTGGATAGCCGCCTTAACAGACGGATGTACTCAGAAACGGGTAAGCGGCTATTTTTATTTATGTATCCATCAAGCTATCTAATATAATCTGTACATATTCATCTACTTCTCTATTTTGAGATTCATGACTTATTTTCACCTATCAAAGCTGTTTTTTCTCTTAGTCTGTTCTTTGTGCCATAGATTGTTCTATTTTTGTCAGAATGCACGAACCTGAGTATCTGTTTATTCGCTCAGTTGCTGTCAAGCAAGTACAAACAAAGACGGGGTCAGTGCAGTTACATCGACAGGAAAATCCAAGCAGTTCAATCTTCTCTAAAACATCAATACAATTCTCCCTGCTTACATGAACAACAAGATCTGTTACAATACCTGACCATATGCATACGTACAAATCGATTACTTCGTATATCTAAACACATTCACTAAATTTCCCATGTCGATCTATATCGAAAGACAGGAAACATTTAGAAATATTGCACAATGCCTATTAGGTTGAGTCATTAATAATTTCCGATCTTATTTCTTAAAACAATCCGTTTTGTTCTTTTCGTTCAGAGTTCAAATACCCAGCTTGCTGATTTTCCCTACTTTTTCTAAGTGGAGGAGAATGAGTTTTCTTTTAATCCGCTGTGTACGCGGCCACTGTCGTGAAATATCTGAGGTGTGTTAGTGCACTCCCAAATTATTCTTAATTATCACGCATGATTAGCAGTCGGGATGATGTTTTTCAAAATGCATTTACCTCAAGCAAGGCGATAATGCCACAAAAACACAAAGAGCTGATGAGAGTGAACGTGAACGAGGAAACTGTAGAAGGAACCGGGAACACAGTCCTAAGCAGGAAACAAGGAATAAACCTCTACTCCTGTTCAAAAGACCGGGAGGTGTGTGAACAGGGCGAAAGATGAATCTGTCTAGTCTTATTAAAGAATATTATTATTATTATTATTATTATTAAATTATTTCCTTATTACGTATTTAAACAAGACCCTGCTCGAGAGTTAGAGTTTCTCACTAGTAAAAATTGGTCCTTTTTTCTTTCCTTCTTTTTCTTTCTTTCTTCAGTCTTTAAAACCAAATATCGCTACTGATATATCTATCATCGCAAATAAACAAGAATGGGCCATTGATTACCTGGCAGTCTAACTACGGAAATAGTTCTTTTAATCAGTTCCCCCCAAGCAAGTTGATAATGTCACTAAGACGCAAGGGGTTACTGAGAGTGAAAAGAAAATGAAAATACTTAAAAAGAATAAACCTTAAACCCAATGCTAAACCGAAAACAAGTGATAAACCTGTTCAAAAGACCGGGGACGAGTGTGAACCGGACGACTGGCGAACCGATCTACTCCCGTTCTTATATGGATTCGTCGTGACATTACAGTAAAGCTGATACATTTCCTGTTCTGCAATTTAACTTGTTAGGTACGTTTCCCGCTGCCTTCAAGTACGTTAGATTGGTTGCTCAATGTCTTCAAGCTCATTAGCTAAGTTACTCGCTGCTTCTCGCTGCCTTCGAGGTCATTAGGTGGGTTGCTCACTGCCTTCAAGCTCGCTAGGGAGGTTTCGGGCTGTCTTCAAACTGGTTATGTAGGTTGCTCGCTGCCTTCCAGCTTGTTAGGCTGCTTTCTCTCTGCCTTCAAGCTCATTGAGCAGGTTGCTCGCTGCCTTCAAGCTCGTTAGGCAGCTTTCTCTCTGCCTTCAAGCTCATTAGGCACGTTGCTCGCTGCCTTCAAGCTCGTTAGGCAGCTTTCTCTCTGCCTTTAAGCTCATTAGGTAGGTTGTGCCTTCCAGCTCGTTAGGCAGCTTTCTTTTCAAGCAAAGGTTGCTCGCTGCCTTCCAGCTCGGTCCTGTTTCTCTGCCTTCAAATTAGGTTTTCTCGCTGCCTTCCAGCTTTAGGCAGCATTCTCTCTGCCTTCCTTCAATCTCGTTGCCTTCTTCTGATCTTTATCTGCCTTTCTCTAAACAAGCTCATTAGGGCACGTTGCTCGCTGCCTTTCAAATAAGGCAGCAAGCTCATTATGGGCTTGCTCAGGTGGGTTGCTCCTTTTCCATAGTTCTTTTAGGCAGCTTTCCTCATTAGGTAAGCAAGCAGGCCTTCAAGCTCATTAGGTAGGTTGCTCGCTGCCTTCAAGCTCATTACGTTAGGGTAGCTTTCTCTCTGCCTTCAATCGTTAGGTTTTCTCTCCAAGCCTTCAATCCACCTGTTAGGCAGCAATCTCTCTGCCTCTTCAAACTCATTAGGTGATTGCTCCTGTTCAAAAGACCGTTAGGCAGCTTTCTCTCTGTCTTCAACCGGGTAGGTTGCTCGCGCCTTCAACTCGTTAGGCTTTCTCTCTGCCTTCAAGCTCATCTTATGGCCTTCGTCGTTGACATTACAAGGTAAAGCTTTCTCTCTGCCTTCAAGCTCTCATTAAGCTAGGTGCTCGCTACCTTCCACTCGTTGATTTCCTCTGTTCAAGCTTCAAGCTTTGACTTAGGTAGGTTTCCGCTGCCTTCAATCTACGTTAGATTGGTTTCTCAATGCCTTCAAGCTCATTTCTCTAAAGCTTGCTCCTTCTCGCTTCCTTCGATTAGGTGGGTTTCTCTCTGCCTTCAAAAGCTCATTAGGGCAGCGTTTCTCTGTTGCTCGCCTTCAAGCTCGTTGGCAGCTTTCTCTCTGCCTTCAATCTCGTTCAGGCAGCTTTCTCTCTGCCTTCAAGCTCATTGGTGGCTTCAAGCTCATTAGGGTAGGTTGCTCGCTGCCTTCAAGCTCGTTAGGCAGCTTTCTCTCTGCCTTCAAGCTCATTCCAGCTCGTTAGGCGGCTTTCTCTGCCTTCAGGTTGCTCGCTGCCTTCAATCTCGTTAGGCTCTCTGCCTTCAAGCTTTCTCTCTGCCTTCAAGCTTTTCTCATTAGTGGGTTTCTCTCGCCTTCAAGCTCGTTAGGCACGTTGCTCGCTGCCTTCCTCGTTAGCTCGTTAGGCAGCTTTCTCTCTGCCTTCATCATTAGGTAGGTTGCTCGCTGCCTTCCAGCTCGTTAGGCAGCTTTCTCTCTGCCTTCAAGCTCATTAGGTAGGTTGCTCGCTGCCTTCCAGCTCGTTAAGCTTTTCTCGTTAGGCTCGCTCGTTGCTTTCGTTAGGCAGCTTCTCTCTGCCTTCAAGCTCATTAGGTAGGTTGCTCGCTGCCTTCAAGCTCGTTAAACGCTCCTTCTCTGCCTTCAGTTTAGGTAGGTTGCTCGCTGCCTTCCAGCTCGTTAGGCAGCTTTCTCTCTGCCTTCAAGCTCATTAGGTAGGTTGCTCGCTGCCTTCAATCTCGTTAGGCAGCTTTCTCTCTGCCTTCAATCTCGTTAGGCAGCTTTCTCTCTGCCTTCAAGCTCGTTAGGCAGCTTTCTCTCTGCTCATTAGGTGGGTTGCCTTCAAGCTCGTTAGGCAGCTTTCTCTCTGCCTTCAATCTCGTTAGGCAGCTTTCTCTCTGCCTTCAAGCTCATTAGGTAGGTTGCTCGCTGCCTTCCAGCTCGTTAGGCAGCTTTCTCTCTGCCTTCAAGCTCATTAGGTAGGTTGCTCGCTGCCTTCCAGCTCGTTAGGCAGCTTTCTCTCTGCCTTCAAGCTCATTAGGTAGGTTGCTCTCGTTAGGCGCTTTCTTTTCCTTCAAGCTCATTGGCTCGTTTAGGCAGCTTTCTCTCTTCAAGCTCATTAGGCGGGTTTTCTTCAATCTCGTTAAGCAGCTTTCTCGTTAAGCAGCTTTCTCTCTTCCTTCAAGCTCATTAGGTAGGTTGCTCGCTGCCTTCAAGCCTTCAGCTTTCTCGTTAAGCTCATTGGGTAGGTTCTACTCGCTTCGCCTTCTCTCTTTCTCTCTGTCTTCAAGCTCATTAGCTCGTTAGGCAGTTGCTCGTTAGGCAGCTTTCTCTCTGCCTTCAAGCTCAGGTAGGTTTTATCGTTAGGCATTTTCTCTCTGCCTTCAGCTCATTTAGGTAGGTTGCTCGCTGCCTTCCACTCGTTAGGCATTAGCTTTCTCTCTACCTTCAAAGCTCATTAGGTAGGTTGCTCGCTGCCTTCCAGCTCGTTAGGCAGCTTTCTCTCTTTTTCAAGCTCATTTGTTCAATAGGTTGCTCCTCTCTTGGGCAGGTTGCTCGTTTTTCTCTCTGCCTTCAAGCTCATTATACTTTTCGCTGCCTTCCTGCCTTCCAGCTCGTTAGCTCTCTGTCAAGCTCGATGGGTATTCTCAGCTCCCTGCTTTTTCGTTGGGTGCTTTCTCTCTGCCTTCAAGCTCTCTCGTTAGGCAGCTTTCTCTCTGCCTTCAAGCTCATTAGGTAGGTTGCTCCTTTGCCTTCCAGCTCGTTAGGCAATTTCTCTCTGCCTTCAAGCTCTCCTTTACCTTCCAGCTGTTAAATCAGGGTTCTCCTGCCTTCCAAGCTCTGTAGGTTAAATCTCCATGGGCTGCCTATCTCGAAGCTCGTTAGGCAGCTTTTCTCTCTGCCTTCAAGCTCATTATAGGTTGCTCGCTGCCTTCACGTTAAGAAAACTCGTGGTTCGCTACCTTCCACTCCAACTTTTCAAGTTTAAATAAATTTTCTCTTTCCTTTCTCTCTGCCTTCAAGCTCATTAGGTTGCTCGCTACCTTTCAACGTGAGGTCGATCCTCGCTGCCTTCAAGATCGTTAGGGCTTTCTCTCTGCTGCCTTCAGGTTGCTCGCTGCCTTCCAGCTCGTTAGGCAGCTTTTCTCTCTGCCTTCAAGCTTCCTCTCGTATTTCTCGCTGCCTTCAAATTAAGCATTGGTTGCTCGCTGCCTTCCTATTAGCTTCAAAACTTTCTCTCTGCCTTCAAGCTCATTATAGGTTGCTCGAATCTCGGTTTCTTGGCCTTCAAAGCTCATTAGGTAGGTTTCTGAACAGGCAGCTTTCTCTCTGCCTTCAAGCTCATTGGGCAGGTTGCTCGCTGCCTTCCAAAGGCAGCTTTCTCTCTGCCTTCAAGCTCATTAAGGTTTAGGCGGCTTTCTCTCTGCCTTCAGCTCGCTCGTTAAAATTCCTCTCAAGCTCGTCTTCTCGGCTATTTGGGTAAATTTGCTCAGCTCGTTAAGCTTCAGAATTCGTTAACTTTCTCTCTTCAAGCTCATTTTTCTGCCTTCAAATCTCGTTAGCAGCTTTCTCTCTGCCTTCAAGCTCATTTGGTTTCGCTGCCTTCCAGCTCGTTAGGCAAATATAAATGCAGCTTTCTCTCAAGGTTTCAGTTTTTGCCTTCAAGCCATTAAATAGCTGAATTTGAACTCTTTCAATTTGGTTTCTTTTTAAGCAACTCTGCCTTCAAGCTCGTTAATTCTCGTCCTTCAATTATTTCTCTCTGCCTTCAAAAAGCTCGTTAGCTAATTCTCTGCTCTTATTAGCTAATCAATCTCTTATTTCTCTGCCTTCAAGCTCGTTAGGTTGCTTTCGCTGCCTTCAATTTCTGATTAGGCACGTTGTCTGTGCCTTCACGATATTAAATTTCAATATTTCGCTGCCCCTTCAATTTCTTCAAGCTTTGGGCAGGTTGCCGCTGCCTTCCAGCTCGTTAGGCAGCTTTCTCTCTGCCTTCAATCATTAGGCGGTGCTCGCTGCCTTCAAGCTTTCCGCTTTCTCTGCCTTCAAGCTCATAACGTTGCTCGCCCTTCTTTTGCCTTTTGGGCTTTTGTTTCAATATTTGCTCGTTAGGCAGCTTTCTCTCTGAAGGTTTTTTTCTCTCTGCCTTCATTTTGCCTTCATTGGGCTTCGTTGGGTGGCATTCTCTCTGCCTTCTAAAGTTTAGAAAATTCTCCGTTGGTTGCTCGCTGCCTTCATCTTCAAATGCCTTTGAACCAATCTATCCGTAGCTCGTTCAGCTTTCTCTCTGCCCTTCAAGCTGGAAAAGGCTAAACGTCTGATTCAATCCTCAGATAGTTCAAATTATTGCTCATCCTTCAACAAAATTCAGGTTGCTCCTTGCCTTCAATCTCGTTAATTTCCTTTGTCTGAATCTCGTTAGCTCTCGTTAGGCACATTGTAAGTTCCATCATTGGGTTGGGCAGCGTCTCTCTGCCTTCAAGCTCATTGGGCAGGTTGCTAATCGTTAACGAAGCTCATTAATTTTGCTGCCTTCGGCATTTCAATTCAACTCATTATAAACTAAAAATAAACACTTCCAAAGAGCTTTTCTCTCTGCCTTCAATCTCGATTGCTCTCTGTTCAAGCTTTATTAACTCATTGGGCAGGTTGTCGCTGCCTTCCAGCTCGTCTAAGCTCATTAGGTAGGTTGCTCGCTGCCTTCCAGCTCGTTAAGCGGCTTTCTCTCTGCCTTCAAGATTAAAGTTGCTCGCTGCCTTCAAAGGCAGCTTCATTGGGCATTCGATTCGGTAAAAGCTCAAGGCTGGTTGCTCGCTGCCTTCTCTCGTTAGGCAGCTTTCTCTCCTTCAATCTGTCGATAAGCTACACCTGACGAAGCTGGGTATTGCTCCTTGCTTCCAGCCGAAATTGGGCAGGTTTTCCGAAGCTCGTTATCGTCACAAATCTAGCCCTTCAATCTCTCGTTAAGGAAAATAGTTCCGCTGCCTTCCAATTTTCTCTCTGCCTTCACATTAAGGGTTTGCTCCTTGCCTTCAGGTTGGTTTCCTTTACCTTCCAGCTCGTTACGCAGCTTTTCTCTCTGCCTTCAAATTGGTGGGTTGCTCGCTGCCTTCCATTTTTTCTCTGCCTTCAAGCTCAAATAATCTCGTTAGGACTTCGCTGCCTTCCAGCTCGTTACATTTCTCTTGCCTTCAAGCTCATTAGGTAGGTTGCTCGAGGACCGGCTCATTTTGCTCGCTGCCTTCCAACTCGTTAGTCAAGTGCTTTAGGCCTCAGATTTCTCTCTGCCTTCATTTAAGCAGGTTCTCGCTGCCTTCAAGCTTTAAACTTTCTCGTATCTCATTAGAACTCGGCATATGTCATTCTTAAGTTTTTCTGATTATTTGTTCCATAAATTATCTCTCTTTCCGATTTTATACATACTTTTCTTTTTTGTTTCCATTTTCCATATAACTTCCGCGTTGCCTACATGCACCGTCCATGGTATTCTCAGCACCCTACTTTAGAACCAATTCATTTTGTTTCATCTGTCGTGGTTGTCCGTCATTCAACCAAAGGCTGATATTGCAAAACATTTCAGCACAATTTCCTTTTTGTCTGAATTTCGTGGCTTAGTAATTGTGAGTTCGATCCATGGGTTGGGCAGCGTAAAAAATATAACTAAGTAGAACTCACTAAAAGAGATCTCTCGAGGTATTGGCAAAAACAATCCAGATTAAATAAAGGGTTCAGTTCGGAATTCTCTGAATAACTACGAAGGCTGGGTATATCTTTTCTTCCGGCCGAAATGTGATAACAACAGCAAAGATGAGGACAATAGTCTGAAGGTAAATAGTGTAAGAACTTTCCTTTGTTTCTTACGAAAATTCCTCGTTTCTTAATACTTATTATTTAAAATTTAGCTATTCAGAAAACGGCTTTTTCTATTCAAGTGCTCCTCAGATTTTGAACACTTCTCAAATATATAAATGTCAGTATTTGTTTCATTTTGACATATGCATTTCGAAGTTCCCATCTTTGGTTTCATTTTGTTTCTTGCTGATAACGATGAATTTTGTCTTTTTCAATTATATTATAAAGTTAAAGAAAATAATTGAAGATCGTCTGTATTAAAGGCCATAGCCAATCTATGATAAACTAAGTAAATATTTATCTTTAAAATAAGGACGAACGTCTGTGATAGTGAGATAGTTAAATGTTTATTCAAGCTGGCCACAGCTTGGCTATGCCTAAGCCTAGAAAATATCTACGCACACACGGATCAAAATGTTTGCCAATGCTGGAGTCGGTTTCCTTGACAAGTCGCTAGCTGACTGCTGCATATTCATATATCTAACCGATTGCCACCCTGAGCGCCTGCTGGGGTAAGGCTAAACGGACACGAACAGTAAAATGTCATCGACGTTTGAAAAAAAATTACTTATTTAACAAGATCTACTCGCATATCCTTTATAACATTCAAAGTGTCCCATGTCGTCAACTTGAAACAGTGCCTCGATCGCTACATGGAAAAAGAGTAGGCTTAAAACCAAGATGTTTTTATACAGGTGTCGAGCAGTGTGTGCAAACAACGAGAACGCCGGGAAGCTAATGAGGGCTAGTGCTAATCAGCTCCATCTGTCGGAGTTAACAATTAGACGTGTTGTATTAGAAGGTATCAGATACAAATCCTACGTCATAAAGAGAGGGTAGTTCCTGTTCAATTGTATCTGGGAGGAGGACCATATTACCTGATCAAAATTTTTACTAAATAAAGGAAAGGAGCCCAACATTCTCTTTTTTATTTCTCAGCTGAGGATATTTTCCCGATCATGTTACCCCTAACATTTTCTCATTCCAGTTCTCCTGATTTAAACCCTATGAACTATTACGCCTGCGGTGTCGATGATAGGAAGGCCAACAATCATGCCCACAATGCCAAGGATTCGCGGAAAGGAGCTATCGAGGACGTTATAGTTAACAGTAAACCTGCTAAATGCATGTAATATTTTAGAAGTTGAGTTAATGGCGGATACACTGAATAAACTTGCGTTTCAAATATGTATGTGTTATGGTCCAGGTTAGGACCAAGGAAGAACAACACGAACACAAGTGTAGAAATAACGAAGTTATATTACACGAAATAATAATACAAGATGTGGAAGGGGTTAGTATGACTGGATTGGAGTGAACTACTATCGGCTCGACTCGATTCGGTATCTAGCCACTCACCCTCACGAGGGTTGCATGTGGCACAAGGCCGAGTTTTACGTGGGTTTTCCGAGCCCGTAGGCTCGGCCAAAAATACCCGTAGAATCCGTTTTAAACGGGATCGGGTTGGTCAACCTCCCCGAACGAGACTCTGCCCTTCGGCGGAGCCTCGTCCGGGTTCCTCTCTGCTCAGAGGCAGAGAGTTCGATCGTCAAGCCGAGAAGCTCGGCTTGATTCGTCCCACTCTCTTGAGAGGTGTAGTATACATAGTGTTAGGAAGAGTTCATTCTGTAGTTATAGATAAGGACCCATGACAGTATGTAAGAACAGGCGTATCGAATTCTGTAAAATATATTGATTTGTCTGCTAAATAATATGATTACCTCAAATTAAAAATCTGTTCTCAAATACTTGACGCAACTTGTGTATAGTAGTAGGCCTCCATTGGTCAGGGTTGACCATGTGTAGCATCCTAATTGTCTGCTTGGCTGGAGAATCGACGTCTGTGACTGTAGAGGCCGATGTGGGAGTGACAATCTCTGATGCAGTGTGTGTTCTGTCTTTTTGTCTGTTGGAGCTGTCACTTCGCTTTCTGCATGCCCGCCTTTCTGTGACGACTTGTGTCAGCTTCTCCTCCCCTGACTTGAGGTGTTTGGCCAGGGTTCCCCTCCATTTGGATCGTATGGCTGCCAGGCTCTCCCAGGACTCTGTGTTGATGTCCACAGTTTCCATATCGCAACTTGTATATATATATATATATATATATATATGTGTGTGTGTGTGTGTGTGTGTGTGTGTGTGTGTGTGTGTGTGTGTGTGTGTGTGTGTGCAGGTAAAAAATAGGAAAGAAATACGTTAGGTAAATAATCCAGGGTTCTTTAGTATTTTTGTTTTTATTTTAAAAAACAGTGCTCCATACAGAAGTAGAGCTTAGATTATAATTATTTAAAAAAAAAAAATATGATTCTTACGCTACATAAGAGTTTCCATGTTTCAAAAATTTTAATAATTATATTGATGGTTTCGGCTCTCGTTTTTGAAACATGAGAACTCTTATGTAGCGAAGGAATCATATTTTTAAATAAATAAATAATATATATATATATATATATATATATATATATATTAATGCATGTTTCATTAAATAATATAGACAAGTTTTGTCTATTTATTTTAAGCAAATTTCTTTCATGTCGCCTGATAAGTTTTACATAGTTTATTTTGTTTTTGTTTGCATGCAGATTTCCAAGGGATTTCAACTGTTTCCATGTAACAGGAAGCTTCAAGAATTTTTAGTTTTGTTTATTTTGTTTTAGGTTTCATGTTTATGTATATAGCTTCATTTTTAGTTTTTGTTTATTGTTTTCATGTTTAAGCATAGTTGTGTTTTCCGGAATTGTGTCTGCGACCAGGCATGTTGTTTTAAATGCCTAAAAATCTCTATATATTATCTGGTAAATATTCCATTTATCAGATTTGCTCAAAACTTTGTCGGGATTCTATATCCTATTTTAAACACATGTTGTTGACACGGAAAACACATGAACAAACATAAAAACATATAAATCTTTTACTTTCAACCAATTCTGAAGTACTTGGAAAGGATTTGTCTTGGATTCATTTCAGAAAAGGCTATATGAATATCTTCCTTTCGAGCCATTCTGAACAAGAGATGAGGATTTGCCTTTAATTCAATACAGAAAAGCTGGGGGGAAATATATTAACAACTTTCGACATGAAGGAAAAATTATAAAGAGAAGAAACAGAATAAATATTAACGGCTTTTTAAAAAGTCACTCATTTTCATTCTTTTCTTTCATTGCTTTAATCACGGGAAACGCCAGCTTTAGGAAAAAGTATTAAGATTCATTATTTAAGTATAAACAAAAATACACATAAACACGTATGTCTTTCGTTTTTGGATCCGAGGAAGCCTAGAATGGCGAAACGCGTAAGGAAATCTATTTTCAATTAAATCTTAAATCTTAATCTCATTTTTCCGAATGGCTCGAAAGGAAGAGATTCATATAACTTTTTCTTAAATGAATCCAAGGCAAATCATCTTTCAGTTCTTTATCTATCTATCTATCTATCTATCTATTCGTTTTTATCTATCCATCTCGTTCTATTCGTTTCTCTCTTTTTACCCAGTTCTGTTCGTTTCTATCTATCTATCTATCTATCTATCTATCTATCTATCTATCTATCCCATTCTGTTCATATCTATCTATCTATCTATCTATCTATCTATGTGTGTGAGTGCGTGTGTGTGTGCGTGTGCGTGTGTGTGTATTTACAATAAGATATAGAATCCCGACAAAGTTTTTAAGAAATTTGACAAATAAAAAAATGATGACGTAATGTACTTTTTAAACGTGTGTTAATAGCTGGTAATATTGCTGTAAATATATTCTCATGATATTTTCTCTTTAAAGGGTTGGCATTGGTGAACTTAAAGTTATGTCCTACATTGTTGCGGTGTAATACAAGAGAATTTGAATGTTTGTCTAAACGCAAATCTCTTTTGTGTTCCTGGATGCCGGTTTTTATATATATTTACACAAAATCACAGATTTTAACACAAGGCCACCGAAATCAGATATATAAAATAAAAGCCGGAGTTATGTTTTTTGTTTTGTTTTTGGTTTGCTTGTTTTTTGTGTTTGTTTTTTTCACGCTAAAAAAAAAACAGATTTGTAAACTTAAGTGAACCCCGTCAACATTAAAAGAAAAAAAATCATTTTCTTTAAATTTCTATTACATTTTAACAAAACGTTCGATGCTTTAAAGTTTAAAATTATCACCGCTTTCATTCTGTTCCTTAAGTGTTTACGCATCGATTTTTTTTGCAAACTGCTTCTATTCTCGGCTTTTTTGCAAATAATATTCTGCGTTTTTAAGAACGATCGTCGTTTAGATAATTTTTAACCATTTAAATATACAATTTCACCGAAAATTTTATCATATTATATTAATTCCAAATATAAAAGACAAAAGTTCCTTTGAATTTACATCTGAAGTCCAATCTGACACCCGTAAAATACTATTAGTTGTTTGGCTATCTGATAATAAAACAATATTAAATTTTAATAAAACGTTTTAATCAAATATTGGCTGGATTTTAAAAAGAACAAGCGTAGACAGTTGAGCAAATTCAAATTAAATATTGGTTGCTTAGAAACCAGATTTTCCAGTTATTGTCATATACGCTGGCATAAATTAGCATAAATGTATGTATATATGTAGATAAATATTGACATAACAGTAAACACGCACAACATATGTATTCATATAAATGTATATATTCATATATTTAACAATGTAAATGTATTCAAACGTGCAAATCACAAACACATATACATATATATATATATATATATATATATATATATATATATATATATATATATATATATATATATATAAGAGCAAAATTGTCCACATCGTGGGATAATTGTCCATCCCAGAAAATGTTTAACACCTAATAAAAACACTAAAAGTAATTGAGTTTCTTTTTTCCAGGTTTTCAGATAAGACGTTTAGCCATCTTGACAGCATTTATCGTAAAATCACAGAAAAAAAACCTTTGAGTTATTCAGCTAGAAAGAAAACAGGTTAAAATCATTTTGTGTCAGCGTCGCTATGTCTTTCCAATTGAGAAATAGTGAGAGGAAAAAGATCTTTCAGGCCTTCAGTAATGATATCAACATTCATTCTCTGGTTTCCATCTTCATAGCACGTTCATAAACCATCAAGAGAATGGCGAATAAGTTTAAAAAAGAGGTAACTAGAGGGGAAAACTGGATCAGGAGGTCACAAAAGCAAGAGGGATCATCATTTCAAATTAGAGCTCAATACATAACTTGTAAAATGAATTTAAGCGCAGTACTAGAATGTTGGTAAGATCTCTTCAATTCACAGCTGAATTGGCTAGATGTAACTGTAAGTTCTATGTTAACAGTTTCTATTCTCGCACTTCTCATTTGTGAAACTCTTTTCAGGCTTCGTGATGTCGAACCAACTTTGATTTCTAAAAAATTAATGCAATGTCATTCGTTATCTACTGTCTTCTTGATTACTCTTCTATTGCTTTCACTCCCTCGTAATGTTTCTCTTATATATATATATATATATTACAGCAAAAAACAAAATTAACTCAGCATGAATATAGTCTATTTCAAGCTGTACTGAAACCAGCCGTCTTCAGCTGTTATGACTTAAGACTTGAAGACGGCTGGTTTCAGAACAGCTTGAAATAGACTATATTCATGCTGAGTTAATTTTGTTTTTTGCTGTAAAAAATATATATACTCTGTTACAATGAAGACATTGAGCTCTCTTTAGACCACTTTTAATATTTGTTATTATTAGGATACAACTGAATTATATACCAACGGATCTATTACCTGTACTATATATATATATATATATATATATATATATATATATATATAAAAAGAATTAATCGATCGTTTTAAAATTACAATCTGCCGTTAATGTGATGTCACTTGGTTGACTTTCTGTTAAGAGAATAAAGACGTGAGCGCCATTGTTGAAGCAAAACTTATTCATGGATGGCGCTTTTTTTTATGCAATTCTTCTTCTTCTAAGTGCCGTCTCCACTCAGAACTAGGTGATCATGGCTCTCCACAACTTCCTGTTCTTTGTAGCTCTGAGTATATTTTGTCTTTTCGCTATCTCTGATAATCTATGTTCTGCCACCCATTTATACAATCTCGTTAGGTAGGTGGTGCTCTGCTTTCTTCTCTCCCTCATGTGCTGTCAGTGTTCTATTTTCTAAGCCCTCTTTCCTTGTTATGTGCCCTAGGAATTTCAACTGACCTCTCTCTCTCTCTCTCTCTCTCTCTCTCTCTCTCTCTGGTGTTAAGTGCAAGTGTCCTTTTTATTTCCATTTTCCCTAAATCTTCGTCGTTGCTCACATGTTCAGTCTATGGCATTCTCAGCACCCTTCTGTAGAACCACGTTTCTTCTTTATCTGCCATATAGGACTTATGTTGCATAAAAAATTAGTTTCCTGTTTCTTGATACTTTAAATTTTGAAAGGCACCTTTCGCTATCCCGATACGCAGTTGAATTTCAGTGTTGCCTTTTTTTATCCTCTGTTAAAACATTTTGTAGATAGTTAAATTTATACATTTTCTTGATTTTGGCATCTCTAATTTGTAAGAAGCACGGTGGAGTAATGAATGGCGACTCAGATTGAGGAATCGGAGAACCGAGTTTTAATTCCAGTCGAATCCATTAAATTCATTTATGTGCTAATACTCTTGGGAAAGCTATGATTCCTCTTCTTCTAACCCCAGCTATGGGTAAATAGTAGGATAGACCAGATTCTATCACAGAAAGAAATGGCAACCTACTGCGGGAAAAAATCTGCCTCATCAGTCATGTATCGAAAGATACATGATCGCCTTAGCGTGTATCACGTATGGCACATAACTGACTGAATTTGTAATAAGTATGTTGGGGGTCTTCTTTTTACGGACAACTATAAATTCTGTCTCCTTACAATTGATTTTTAATCCTTTCTTCTCAGTTTTTTTTCCTATCTTCTGCAGGAATTCCTATATTTTCATTTTTATCTCTTCTGTCGACACTGTCGTCTGCATATCTTTTGTTGTTAAGATTGTGCCCGCCAAAAATGAATCGTAATAGGAATTCTAATTCTCTGAGAATCACCTCACCGTAAAGGTTGAATATGCATCATTGTCTTACACCTCCTTTCTATTTTTGTATATTTAATGAATTCATTTTCTGTTCTATCATTTTCTATCCGAAACTGCATCACTCCGATATAACATGAAGTGAGCACGAAAAAATCTCTGATTCAGCAGTCTTTAAAAAAAAAAAAGTTCAATAGCAAACGTACGGTCTGCTCTGTTCCAAGCCATGATGGTAAGTGATGGTATCTAAGAAAAAATATTAAGAGCTTAACTAAATGAAGACACTATTGGTACTTGCTTAAATTCACTAGGCCCACAGAGGTGACTGCTTAAAATGTGGAAGGAATTTTTGCTGCACCATGTATTTATTAATGTTCTGAGCATGCCCTATAAGATCGTTCATTTAAAGCAAAAATCTTTTAGGACTGAGAAGAGAGTCTGGGGGAGTATTGATTTGTTCAAAACATGAATCTGTGCAAATAGTTAACCTAATGAAAAGACCCTATTAGAGCGCTTTCTAATAAGTACCGCGCATATAATATATAAATAATTACATATATATATATTTATTTATATTTATATACACTTTTATATACATATATATATATATATATATATATATATATATATATATATATATATATATATATATATATATATATATAGTGGACTCTCCTGTTCTATTCGACGTCAAGCAGCTCAGTTCCTAGGAACCGACAGCCAGACACTAGCACATATGATTTGATTATAATGGTTAAGGCTTTGTGTAGAACCAACCACATTTTTTGAAGGGCTGAATACAGAGACCTGGTGTACTACGTACCTCCAAGGTCCCCAAACAACCTTTTTAAATTCAAAGTTATCCTTCTAGACTAGTTGCTATCCAAGGCTATAGAACCCCATCTGTCCTGCTAATTACCCAAAGCTGGATGGAGAAGAAAGTATTCACACACACACACACACACACACACACACACACACACACACACACACACACACACACACATATATATATATATATATATATATATATATATATATATATATATATATATATGGACAAGGTCCGACAATTTATTTATTAAAGACATTTTTATGTTTAACGTTTTTACATTTGATACGCCAGAGCAGTTATGAATGTACGAGATTTATGGAAGATTGGGTTTATAAGCACTAAATTCGACCTTGTCTACCGAACGGTTCTTTTGTAGCCAGAGGTAAGGCATCAGCGTATATGACGGTTCCGTATAGGATGCAGGTTCGAATCTGTCAAAGAACGAATATTTTCTATGAAAATTACTCGGACATTCAGGCCGGTAAATGTTATTTAATACTGTTTATCATAAACAGAGCATTTGCTTAAATACTTGTATCCATAAAATAACAACGTTAAACATAAAAATGTCTTTAATAAATATATATATATATATATGTATGTATGGGAGGGCGTAAAAAATAATATTAGATATAAGTTATATATAGAATGAATTTATTTATTCGCTAAACTCCCCGAAGAGGAACAAACAGAAGCATTATTACTATTAATCGGACGCCTATTGGTCGTTTGAATTCACT